CTGACTTCAGACGCTGCTCCCTCTTCTCCACAACAGTCTGATACAGCTCTTACTGCAGACGCTGCTCCCTCTTCTCCAAAACAGTCCGATACAGCTCTGACTTCAGACGCTGCTCCCTCTTCTCCACAACAGTCTGATACAGCTCTGACTGCAGACGCTGCTCCCTCTTCACTACAACAGTCCGATACAGCTCTGACTTCAGACGCTGCTCCTTCTTCTCCACAACAGTCCGATACAGCTCTGACTTCAGACGCTGCTCCCTCTTCTCCACAACAGTCCGATACAGCTCCGACTTCAGACGCTGCTCCCTCTTCACCACACCAGTCCGATACAGCTCTGACTTCAGACGCTGCTCCCTCTTCACCACAACAGTCTGATACAGCTCCGACTTCAGACGCTGCTCCCTCTTCTCCACAACAGTCAGATAAAGCTCTGACTTCAGACGCTGCTCCCTCTTCTCCACAACAGTCTGATACAGCTCTTACTGCAGACGCTGCTCCCTCTTCTCCAAAACAGTCCGATACAGCTCTGACTTCAGACGCTGCTCCCTCTTCTCCACAACAGTCTGATACAGCTCTGACTGCAGACGCTGCTCCTTCTTCTCCACAACAGTCCGATACAGCTCTGACTTCAGACGCTGCTCCCTCTTCACCACACCAGTCCGATACAGCTCTGACTTCAGACGCTGCTCCCTCTTCTCCACAACAGTCCGATACAGCTCTGACTTCAGACGCTGCTCCCTCTTCTCCACAACAGTCTGATACAGCTCTGACTTCAGACGCTGCTCCCTCTTCTCCACAACAGTCTGATACAGCTCTGACTGCAGACGCTGCTCCCTCTTCACTACAACAGTCCGATACAGCTCTGACTTCAGACGCTGCTCCCTCTTCTCCACAACAGTCTGATACAGCTCTTACTGCAGACGCTGCTCCCTCTTCTCCAAAACAGTCCGATACAGCTCTGACTTCAGACGCTGCTCCCTCTTCTCCACAACAGTCTGATACAGCTCTGACTGCAGACGCTGCTCCCTCTTCACTACAACAGTCCGATACAGCTCTGACTTCAGACGCTGCTCCTTCTTCTCCACAACAGTCCGATACAGCTCTGACTTCAGACGCTGCTCCCTCTTCTCCACAACAGTCCGATACAGCTCTGACTTCAGACGCTGCTCCCTCTTCTCCACAACAGTCCGATACAGCTCTGACTTCAGACGCTGCTCCCTCTTCTCCACAACAGTCCGATACAGCTCTTACTGCAGACACAAGACAATCATAAAACTTGGCAAAGAAACAACCCATGAATACAGCTTTCTATATCATTGTACTTTTCCAACACCATAGTTTGCAAAATGAACTCCATTTCTACAAACCTCACTGCACACGCTGCACAGATCCACCTGTCAGTCTCGTGCTCCATCCTTTCCTCTCTCGTGAACGAAACTCGGAGATACTTGAACTACTCCACCTCTCCACCACCCGGAGAGGGCAAGACACCTTTTTTTCTGGTCGAGCACCTTCGGATTTGGTGGTGCTGATTCTCATTCATTATGTTAAGGATACAAACCATGCTCCCACTATCCTTCTTCTTTGTCTTTTTAAAGTTACATTTAGCATTCTGTCTGTGCAAATTGTTAAACAAAATCCCTAATACTTACAAATGTATGGACTAAATATCCCACTCTATGATTCAACGGTCTTTGCAGCCACCTTTGAAAGCTCGAAAATGTTTTTGACTGTACCTCTGAGCTGTTGAAACCTCTCAGCAAAGAACATTATGTACATTTCAATAAAAGCGACTGAAATCACCAACGAATCCCAACAACATACGGACCTTTTCAAGCAACTTTTGACAAACTGGAACATAGGAAACATTTCTATCAACATTGGCTTTTATGTCAATGGAAGACAATATTTTTTTGGCAACGTCACTATAAACACCACAGGGAGTAATCCAGTACAGTAACAGAAATACTCATATTTATCAATATTAGTAATTAAAAGGCAAGGCAAGTTTCTTAGTATTGTACAGTTCATACACAATGCAACTTGTTAAGCACATCTTGTGGAAACAACCGTACAAAGGCATTTCCAATCATCATCACTTGAGACATCCTCGTTGGAATAAAACTGTTTTTTATAATCCGTAATTTTATGTAATTGTATGTGACTGTTTTTATAATATGTATGTAACTGTTTTATATTCTGTAACATATGTAACTGTATGTAACTTTTGTCCGGTACTCCAGATTCAGATTCAGATTCCGTTTATTTGCCATTTGCAGTAAAAAAAAAACTACGGAAATAAAACAAATAAAACAGTAAACAAATGTCACTGTGAAATCGATCGACTAAAACAGTTTCAAAACAAGTGCAAATCATTAAAGTGCTCTGTTCACACTGATAACAGCCTGTGGAAAAAAGGGACTCCCTTGAAAAAAAGGTTCTCAATCTCAATGGGACTTTCCTGGTTAAATAAAGGTGACATAAAAAAAAATAAAAAAATCATTGTGAAGCAGAATTCACCAAGCGTTGGATTGTTCACCCACTGATAGGGAACGTGAGCTGGGTTTAGACCGTCGTGAGACAGAGGTTAGTTTTACCGACTGATGATCTGTTGTTGCAATAGTAATCCAGTATATACACTACTATTTTTGTATACTGCATTTGTGTCTTTTCAATACGTTGATACATGTATATAACTTTAATATGTATGATTTCACTTATGCATGACGCTCTAGTTCTGTCTGTGGATTGTCTACATCTTGTAAAAGTAAATTAATTAACAGAGTAAGGGGGAATAAGTTTTGCTTATTCTAAAGCTTGTACTTGCTTTTATTTTAATTTTTGCAGACCAAACTAATGGTCTGTTTACCTGTTTGGAATCTGCTGTACACATTATTATTATTATTATTATTATAAGTAAATAATGACAATCCGAATAGTGCAAAATGCATGGCGTCCTGTGGTAGTCGCATTGGCCAACGACAAACGCACACGGTTTGAACATAAAGTGCCATCCACCAGCCTCGACAATTCCAAAAGACAAATCCGCTCCGACGCTTTTCGCAATCACCATAATTACCCCCTTTGTTTGCTCAGAAGGTGAAACTGTTTATCCTCCACTCGTGATGAAACAAAATGCCGTCGTTAGAATATTATTTGAAAACAAAAGCGGGCGGATTTGCCGAAAGAGAACCACAACCCTTTTTATCTTTTGTCTAACGAAATGAAATGATTGCACCAGAGAGATAGTTAAAAGTGGGTTAGCCTGACAGATCCCCCAGCACAGCGGCTTTGACGAATATTCAAAATGTAATCTGTTTATATTTAGCTACTTCATGATTTTATAATGCAGTCCCCCTTTTTATTTTCATGCTGTTTATTTTATTTATTTATTCTTACACAGTGAAACTACTGCAGGGAGGCGCAATAATGAAAAATAGATACGTTCAACTTTGTTCGACTCAAAACTTATTTCCGTTTTATTCATCGTTTAAACTCTGCCATTGCTTAAATCCATAAGACTCCAACTTCCCTGGCAGCTGGAAGAGCAAACGATTAATTCCATCGCTGGCTGAATCCATTTGTAAAGATTTATAGATTGGTAATTAGCATAAAGCATGGAGATGATCGATAAGAATGACATTATTGTGGCTACGCTAATGGGTTTATTCCCACGTCCAAACACGGACCAGGCTTGTCTTTAATGATCTATCAGCGACGCTACGCTGGAGATTTCAATGCGACGATTTTAGAGAAAGAGACCTCAGGATCCGTATGTGACTGACTGTAACAGGCTGAAGTCGTCGGGTAAAGGTTGAGCAGGCACCGTGTAGAAAGTCTGTTTTAAATTTGCTTCCGTCAGTGTTACACGTCTAAAGGCTCTTCACCTCCGCTGAAGAACTTGAAAACCGCTCCAAAGCGATTCCATTTGAATGTAGTGCTTTAAAGATAACATGGTGAAAGAGCAAAAACTATCGACATACAACCCCTATGTAGATGTATGTATGGTGTATGGTGTATATGGTATAAGATGTATGGTATATCTCAAAATATGGCATAAAATAAACTATAAAGTTTAATTGTATGGGGCGACAGTAGCTCAGTTGGTAGAGCATTGGCCTTAAGGCCAGAAGGTCGTGGGTTCAATTCCCACCTCTGCACCTTCTCCACCAACTCTCACTGATGACTGCTGTCGTTGTGTCCTTGGGCAAGACACTTAACCCCACTTTGCCCAAAGCCCCCACTGAAAGATCAAGGCTATGCTCACACTCACAGAGCAGCCGTCCTCCTGTGGACTCACCACCTGCAGAGGGTCAGTGAGGGGCTGGTGCTATGAGACTTGGGTGGCATCTCTGACTGCCACCCCCCTGACCCAGAAATGGATTAAAGGGTAGAAAATGGATGGATGGAAGTTGAATTGTTTTAGTTTTAGTTGTTGGAAATGGAACTGGCGCTCAGAATATTTTGGTTCGATCGGTCCATTTTTGCGTACATGCATTTTTGATCCCTGTCACATTTTTAGATCAAGTTTTTCAGACGGATAAGACAGAGAGAGAGAGAGAGAGAGAGAGAGAGAGAGAGAGAGAGAGAGAGAGAGAGAGAGAGAGACACAGACACAGAGAGACAGAGAGAGAGTTTTTTGTCGGTTGGTCAAACAACTTGCTAAGTACCTCAGCTTTAAAGGGAAATATACTTAACACAGACTATAATAATGCTGTTTTTATTGTGATAAATTTCAAATGTACGGAAATATAAAGTTTTTAATGCAGATGCTTTCTTATATTAAATTAACAAAAGTATTATTTTCATCAACACATATTTGACCTTTTAGATGTCTATATTGAAGCAGGAAGAGCAGGCTCCGCACACAGCTTGGCCAACTTTGTAGAGGGAAAAAAAAACTCTTGCTCACCATTCATGCATACACCTCTGTTTTTGTTTCATATATGAGCCTTTGTTTGATTTTTGTTTTTTTTTACATGATTATGAGAAGCCATCTTAACTACGGTGGGGCTGCAGCATCGCCTGGGTCACGCAAAAACTGTATAGTAAGCCCATTTACATCACAAGCAAGTAAAAAGAAAAAAAGAAGGATTCAAAGACATATTAAATATATACATATAAAATATATTGCTGGCAGTACAAAAAGTCAGTCTGTGAAACCACACGCATTCCTGCATATACACCACAATCCCAAATACCACCTTTGAGATTTCAAAAAGCTACATCAAAGCCTCAAACGCAACTCTCAAATCTGTTTTGAACCATTTTTCCAATCCATCTGAATTGCCTCCATTTCAGTCCAATGCGGTCTCTCAACTTTGGAATGTACCTTTTCCTGTCAACAAACACAACATATAAATTGTTGTGATAAAGACACCTTCGTCCTGCTGTCATGTCGCGTCAGGTCTTTTATAATCTCTGTCTCATGTATCAACCTAAACCTGCAGATCTCCTAAGAGCAAACATTTCCAAAGCCTTTTACAAAGTGCCGCGGCTGACACACTGAAGGTTCTGTGGATCACCTTCATTGTGTTGCCAGCTCTTAAAAGCATCTCTCTCTCTCTCTCTCTCGGTCATCGCCGTGTCCAAGCTGGGCTCAGTCTCAGAATCATTTCACGAGAAAAACGCGGTCTTTCATATGAGATGGTATAGTAGCATCTGTTGGAGTATTTGATGTTACTTGTCAAGCTGCACTTATCTTTTTTTGTTCCTGATCGTGTTGGCAACCCTATCACTGGAAAAACATCTCTAGAGAATATTAAGAACACAATACAATAAGATCAAACCCAGACATACATGTAGGGCAGCCATTCCCAAAGTCAGTAAAAATCTGACGGGTCTGCGCGGCCCCCGAAATAATAACCAAGAAGACAACGTTAAAAATAGGCTCTTCTGGTTATTTTATTTGGGGGAAATAGCCTCTGCTACAAACATGTAAATGATTTTTGATGGCCCCCCTGTAATACCCTCGCAGCCCACCAGGGGGGCGCTGACCCCACTTTGAGAGACACTGAAAATTGACCAAAGTAAATTGAGTTTACGGATGGCTATGGTCCGGCTGTATTTGACCCATCCTGCAAATACCACCATAGAGCCTTGGCCAGAAGCAGTACCCAGATCTTGGCCCGTCACCACCTCTGCTTGAGAAACGCTGTCCCCTATTTTCCAAACGCTATCAACAGACCGGAGCTGGTAGTACACCTGTTTTTGGTCCATTTTCACACGGCTGCTAATTGTAAAGGAATGACTTGCAAATGTTATTCAAGAGCATCTGTCTGCATTAACATATCACAGTGTTGGAGGTGAGCGGAGCACGCCGGCTGCAAGAAGCCACCGATAAATAATGTGCGCTGACTGCTGATTAATGAGCATGCAGACCTAAAGTTGCTTCACCTTGTTTTCATAATGCTGGATCAAATCTGCAGTGAGCAGAGGAAAAGAGGAGGTTGCAAGTTTGTCAGGGAAGCATAGAAAAGGCAAAGGAAAGAGGAAAAGTGCTGCTCCCTCCCAGAAAGCTAAATGTGTTGCAGTGAACCGTAAGTGACAATTATGAACGCTAAAATTGACTTTCATTAAGAAACAACCTGAAATATTTAATGTATCCTCTCGTTGATTACTGTGAGCATGTTTTTGCAACAACAACAAAAGTTTACTTATTTATTTATAAAAAAAAATCATTTTTGTTCTCGGATTAATTTTTTTGGTCTAGACTAGACTGGTCTAGTTTTTACCTCAGCCCCCAGCCCAGTCCCGTTTTCATTTTGAATCCTTTTCTTAGTAAAAACTAGGGCTGGGACTCCATTAAAAACATTAATCTGATTAATTAGAGGCTTTGAAATGAATTAATCGCATATAAATATTTGACCTGAGAACAGTGAGAAGTAATTTTTTTCACATGGATTATTAGTTTACATTGAATGACTGAATACATAAGCAACACATGTTCATTGTGGATGATAAGGGGCTCAGACTGACTTCTTTCCCAGTAACGTATCTGTCATCGCCTCCACACACTCTGACAACAACATACGCTTTTTAAGCCCAAAATCCACTCGCAGTGAGCACTAAAGCTTATAATGCGTTTTTGATGTGTGCATTCGAACTAAAACATCAGCAAAGCAGCTCATCCTGTGTGGCTCCTCCTCCTCCTTCACCTCCTCCTCCTTCACCTCCTCCTCCTTCACCTCCTCCTCCTCCTCCTCCTCCTTCACCTCCTCCTCCTCCTCCTCCTTCTTCGCCTCCTTCTCCTTCACCTCCTCCTCCTCCTTCACCTCCTCCTCCTTCACCTCCTCCTCCTCCTCCTTCACCTCCTCCTCCTCCTCCTCCTTCTTCGCCTCCTTCTCCTTCACCTCCTCCTCCTCCTTCACCTCCTCCTCCTTCACCTCCTCCTCCTTCTTCGCCTCCTTCTCCTTCACCTCCGCTCACACACAGGAGTCGTTCGCTCCTCCTCCTCACACACAGCGCTCTTTCCCGTCTCTAACTCACTCGGATTTAGACACCGCTAAAGTTGGTCTGTGCTTTTAATAATGTACTTTTGAACAAGAAAAGTCACGGAGTTGGTGCTTCAGTATAATCGGTCCGTCTGAAACTCATCCAGTGAGGAACGTTCCGTGGTGCAACAATATGCGTCAATTTTTTTAACGCACTAATTTTGAGAAAGGGCAGGCTCCTTTTGTGGCACCGGCACCTGCCACAGCTGATCAGTGGCATGTACACAACAAATGGCGTTTAAAACGGCATATGGACAACAAGTGGCGTTTAAAACGGCATGTGGACAATAAATGGCGTGTAAAACGGCATGTGGACAACAAGTGGCGTTTAAAACGGCATGTGGGGAATAAATAGCGTGTAAAACAAATACAGTTGAAAGCAGCCTGTACAAAAGACAACAAGCAGCAACATTCGAGATAGTGGTCCAGTGGCTCAGATGGAAAAGCACAGGTCTACGGTGTTGATGGTTGCTAGTTCAAATCGCCAGTGACTACCAATGACATTTGCTGATGTTGGGTCCTTGGGCATAACACTTCATGGAGAATGTCAGAAGTGCCATAAATTGTTTGAAAAATGTAGTTTGAGTTATAATAAATTAAATTTATAATTTGTTGAAAGACTTAATTTCATGTATTATATGTGGTTTAGATTCTTGAGATGTGTATATTGCTGTGGCGCACTTGGTTTGTAACTGTCTCTCATGCGAAAGATATCTGGTTCAATTCCAGGTCTGGTCTTTATTTTTTTTTTTTGTCAGATTAAATACAAATTGAATATGTATGAATATATATTTCATACATATGGTTATGTGTTGTTCCAATAGTAATCTTGCATTAGGATTAATATTGCATCATCGTTAGGGTAAAACTAAATGATGTGTAAAACACTCAAGACACAATTTTACTTAAAACCACCTGGTGAGTGGTATAGTTGGTGTGTGTCCGCCAATCATGCGAGAGTTCGCAGATTCAAATCCAGCCAAGATCAAAAACTTTTTTATGACGGTTATTTCTTTATACATATATATATATATATCTATAAATATCTATATATATCTTTATATATATATATACAGTTTTTATATAACTGCCATTAAAAAACAAAAAACTGTACTTTGATTTGATCTGCCAATCTCACGCACTATAGACGAATGTTTAATGACTGCGCCACTTATTTTGTGTTTTGGCAAAGAAAAAACCGAAAGATTCTATTGTTTTTCTAGGACATTTCATCAAGAATGGAGCCAACCAAAGATGGTGAAGAGTGATGGATTGAAAAATACAAGCAGAAAGTTGTGTAATTGGAACATGAGGTTTCATCTCTATATTGTTAAAATCTTCATTTCTGTTCTTGGACCGTTTAAGCTGTGTCTTATACTTTGCATTCTTTTATAAAAAAAATATATGTATTAATGCTCTTTCTTATTGTTCCATGTTTCTGATGTGGTTTTATTAAAGAAGAGAGAGAAATAAAATGATTTTTTATTTTGTTTTATTTATATATATATATATATATATATATATATATATATATATATATATATATATATATAATAACACGTCATTATTTGTCTTTTACTTGATATTGGAAAAAGCTCTATACATTCATGGCTTGTTACCGACACCGGAGCCATAAGTCAAGCTGCCGCACACCTCTCAATCCATCCCGCTCACCCACATCTGTCAAAGGTCGTATCATACATTCTTCATGACAGCCCATAAGCACGCTCCGGTCAAGAATTCAGCTTTCGGACATGGGAGAAAGGAGCTGACAAATGCAACGCGGTCAATATATCACTGCAGACAGGGGACGTTCAGATGATGGGGCCCGGGCGAGACAGTTCAAGCGGCGGCATCAGCAACCTGTTTGTGTCCGCTGTGATCTTGACGGATAAGCAATCTGCTCTCGACATCCGTGGCCCGGACGGGAAAAAAAACGCTTCGACAAGACGTGAAAAGATGGCTCTCTCAGCAAGGATGTGGAGAAATACATATCTAAAAGGTTGAGAAATAGTCGGAACATATAGATGTTTTTTTTTTTTCTTGTAGGGTCGTTTGTACGTAAGTCCTGAGTTGTGTACTTTGTTGCTTATGATGAAAAAGCCCGCTGTTGCTGCCACATCAGAAAATCCCAGTTCATGTACAGGGAGTTGTACATTTTAGCTTAAGTAAGTAAAACATCTAAAAATGAGAGTTACTGCTTTGCTTGAAATATCTGTGTGGACTATATTCTATCTCAGATCTAGACTTTGTTTTTTATTCTACCAGAGGCAATTCATTTGAATAATAGTGTTGCAACCTGTTGATCACAAAACATGTTTGAAATTTTGCAAGATCAAAAGTTTAATTATTTATTAAAGGAACAACACAGTTTTTATTAGCGTAAAACCATAGACTTTATATATTAACAGACGTAGTCCCGCCTATCTCCGCAGTTCTAACTAATGGGCCAAAAATTGGGCTTTCATGGAATGATTCAAAATGGCCGAGGGGGTTAGAAAATGTCAAAAAACGCATCTGTGCATGCGTCAGCTGCACGAGCTCCATTCATTTAAACGAATGACTTCAAAAATTCACAGCGACTAAACTAGACTGGTCCAGAACACCCCCCTCAGCATTGACACACATGTGGAACGGAGCTTTGGGCCAAGAGACAACTTTTGGACCATCCTGTAAAGGTGTTTTCGAGAGGTAAGAAGATGCTATATGTTAGCATTGGCTAATTCTTACACAATACAATACAATACAATACAATTTATTCTTGTATAGCCCTAGGTCACAACAGAAGTCATCTCAGAGGACTTAACAAAACCATTGAAATCACCAACACAGGTCAGAGAATCAACAGTTAAAACACATGAAGAATACAGTATAAAGCACACACAGAAGAAAATGTCCATACATGTTGTAGAATGCTAAAGTGTCCTGATCATCATCAATCCTTTCTGTTGGACACTAACTGTCCAACAAGACCCTCCTGCATCGACAAGGAAAAACTCTTAAAAAACCCAGTGGGAAAAAGTGAGAAACCTTGGAGGAGAACTAGGGAAACCCACAGGGAGGGAGACCCATATGAGAAAGGGATCCGCTCCTCCGGACGGACAGACTAATGATCTAGGACCTAAGCTAGCTACAGGACGTGGACCAGTGGACGCTGAACGTGGACAGGTCCGGTGCAGGACCGAAGCACTCCCAGGCGGGTCGGGCGGGGCAGTCCGCAGGTGTAGATGGAAGAGGCCAGGCTCAGAGATCCCGTCATCGTACCATGAAACAGACAATGGGACAACGGGTGAATAGCAATGAACAAACTACAGTCAGAATCCTAAAAATGCTAAACAGATAAAGTAGGAAGGAGGAGAGGATAGTGCTCAAGTTACCATACTTCTCCCAGCAAACTGACTCCCTATGCAGCTTGACTAACACTCTGAGGAGTTTAACCTTCTCCGAGTCTTACCTTCCTAGCCATATGCTAAACTAAAGAGGACTGTTTTAAACCTAGCCTTGAATAAAGAATAACATACAGCATAATATATAACATATACACAATACATTATTGAATAATATATAACATAATATATAACATAATACAGCATATATATATAATATATACACTACATATTATATATTACCTAATTATATGCTAAATTAAAGTAAAGTGCTTTAAGCCTGGCCTTGAATGTGGAGACCGTATCTGCTTCCTTAACATAAATGGGAAGCTGATTCCACAGTAAAGGAGCTTGGTAGCTAAATGCTCTGCCACCAACAGTGACCTTTGAGACCTTAGGGACCACCAGACGTCTGGCGTTTTGTGAGCGCAACGCTCGACTTGGTTGATACGACACTAACGTGTCTTGGAGATAAGAAGGAGCCAAGCCATTTATGGCTTTATATGTTAAGAGTAGGATTTTAAACTTTATTCTGTACTCCACAGGGAGCCAGTGGAGTGATTTTAACACCGGAGTTATGTGCTCCCTCCTTTTGGTACCTGTTAAGATCCTAGCTGCTGTATTCTGAACGAGCTGGAAGCTCTTCAAAGAGGCTTTAGGGCACGCTGCCAGTAAAGCGTTACAGTAGTCAAGCCTTGAGGTGACAAACGCGTGAATGAGTTTTTCCGCGTCACTTTTAGGAAGGAAATTCCTAATTTTAGCGATGTTCCGTAAGTGGAAGTACGCCGTTTTAGTTGCTTGGCTTATATAAGCCTTGAAGGAGAGTTCTTGGTCAAAAATGACTCTAAGATTCCTCACAGTGTTACTGGGTATTATACTGACATTATCGAGAGTAACCATCTGGTTAGTGAGGGAGTCACGCAGGCGCTTCGGACCGAGTAGGATCACTTCTGTCTTCTCCGGGTTGAGAAGTAGGAAGTTAAGAGTCATCCACATTTTAAGGTCCTTTATGCAGGCACTGAGCTTTTCTAGCTGATCTGTCTGATTAGGCTTCATCGACAGATAAAGCTGTGTGTCATCTGCATAGCAGTGGAAATTAATTCCATGCTTTTTAATAATGTTTCCCAGTGGCAGCATGTAGAGAGTAAAAAGAATCGGTCCGAGTACCGAACCCTGCGGCACACCGAATTCCACTCCAGAATAAGGCGACGAGTCCTGATTCACATTGACGAAGTGATATCGATCTGATAAATAGGATTTAAACCAGCCAAGGGCTGTTCCTCTAAGACCTATATCACATTCTAGCCTCTGCAGTAGAATGCTGTGGTCTATTGTGTCAAATGCAGCACTAAGGTCCAGTAGGACCAGCACTGACACTTGTCCATTATCGGCAGCTAGTAGTAAGTCATTTGTGACTTTGACTAGTGCCGTTTCAGTGCTATGATGAGCTCTGAATCCTGATTGAAAGACTTCAAACATATCATTTTCCTGCAGGTGGCAGCGGAGCTGCTCAGCTATAAGTTTTTCCAGGATTTTAGATATAAAAGTGAGGTTCGAGATCGGTCTGTAGTTTGTAAGTATTTCTGGGTCCAGGTTTGTTTTCTTCAGAAGGGGTTTGATTACCGCGGTTTTAAAAGCTTGTGGGACATAGCCACATTGTATGGATGCGTTTATTATATTTACGATAGGCTCAATTATCAAAGGAAGTATGTCTTTGAAGAGCCATGTCGGGACTGCGTCTAACATGCAAGTTGAGGCTTTTGAGGATGTGACCACAGAGATCACCTCTGCTTGGCTCACAGCCATGAATTTATTAAGGCCCACTGAAGAGTCTAAGTGGGAAGTCACGTATGCCGCTTCAACCTGTCCACCACTAACAGCAGGAGCAACCTCCTCCAGCTTGTCACGGATGGATGTAATTTTATTATTAAAGAAGTGGAGAAAGTCGACACTGCTCAGTGAGCTTGGAATTTTAGGCTCGATTGCGCTATGGCAGTTTGTGAGTTTAGCGACGGTACCAAACAAAAATCTACTGTTGTTTTTATTCGCTTCTATTAAAGTTGAATAGTATTGAGTTCGAGCCCCGCGAAGGGCCTTCTTGTAGTTTCGGAGACCTGCTTTCCACTCCCTGTGGACAGGCTCCGAGTGGGAGTGGCGATATAGCCTCTCCAATTTTCTGACGTCCTGTTTTAAAGTGTGGAGTTGAACACTGTACCAGGGCGACGATGATCTAATCCTAATGGTTTTCTGTTTTAAAGGAGCTGCTGCATTTAATGCAGATTTTAAAGACTCCATAGTGTTGCCCACCGTTTGGTCGATGACTGAGGGACTGCAGCTGCTGTGAACAGGTTCACCTGCAGCAGTATTCAACATAGGCTGTATTAGTTCTTTGAACCTTGTGATAGATTTATCATTTAAGGTTCTTTTCATTATGGTTTTATCTTGCGGGACAGGAAAGTCCTCCAAAGCGAGATCAAACGTGATCAAGAAATGGTCAGACAGCAACGAGCTTTGACGCTGGATGTCAACATTGGAGACATCACAGCCGTAGGTCAGGACAAGGTCCAAGGTGTGGTTATGAATGTGAGTAGGTTCCTCGACATTCTGAGTAAAACCAACACCATCTAGTACGGCGCTGAAAGCTTTGTTTAAGCTGTCAGTGCTGTCGTCCACATGTATATTGAAGTCTCCAGCTATAACTATGTTTTCCCATTCCAAAACTAGGTTTGAAATGAAGTCAGAGAATTCTGTTAGGAACTCGCTGTAAGGACCAGGAGGTCGGTATAAAACTATAAATAGTACTGCTTTTTGTTTTCTCCACCCAGGACAGGTGATTGAAAGTGTTAAGTTTTCAAACGAGTGAAAAGCGTTGTTGGTTTTGGGACTAAGAACCAAGTTGGTGTGTGATATAATCGCAACACCACCGCCGCGACCTGTAGCTCTGGCTTTCTGGTAGTTAACATGCGTCGGAGGAGTGCACTCATTCAATCTAACGTACTCGTCCTGTTGGAGCCAAGTCTCCGAGAGCGCTAACAGATCCAAGCCCTTGTCTATAATAAGTTCGTTTATGAGAAGCGATTTAGACGAGATTGATCTGACGTTCATTAAACCACATTTAACAACCCTACTGTTAGAACTATTTCTGTCTGTCTGAACTTTTATTAAGTTACTGTGTCTGACACCTAGGTCAGATTTCCTCGCATATAGTGCTTTAGACTTCAAGCGGGGAACACACACAGTTTCAATCT